AGAAAATAACTTATTATTGGAGGTAGATTATTTTGACAATATATAATATATATATATAATTCATTAAACTTGAACATATTCATGAACTTGAACTAAACTTGAACTGAATCAAAACTTTGAGTTCAGATTCAGTTCAAGTTCATAAATTTAAAGTTTAGTTCAGGTTCAGATTCAAAGATCTGCAAAATTTAAAGTTTAGTTTAGATTCAATTGAACTTGAACCTGAATCTAAATTGAACTGAACTGAACTTCGAAATACTAATTATACTAATACTATAAATAAGCCTTATAATTGATAATTTATTTTTTGTTAGTGAAAAAAAGCAAAAAAAAATATTTAATTTTTAGGATTTTAAAAATTCACTTAATTGCTTTAGTACTTATATATATTCATGATATATCTCTAGTAAAAGAAGCCTGTAAAATAAAATTTATTAATAAACAGACATAATCACTAATAGTTAAATAAATTTTACCAAACTCTTCCTGATAATTACTTAGACCAACTAGTACCGAAAGCAAGTTGAAGACTCTAGGCCAGAAGTTAATAACAACTTGAAGTTTTCTTAATACAAGCTATTGTCAATAAAGTTTCTAAACATAATACACCAAGAAGTGAGCATTTTGAATGGTTTGCAAAGGGGTCAAGCCTTGTTTTTCTTCTTGCTAGAGTGAACTTTCTTTTGTATTTGGTGTCTAAACTAAAAGAATCTCTAGAAATAGCAAATAAAAAAAAACTCAGAAAGTTTGGAGATAAAAAGATATAACAAACTCTTAAAAAAACTTTTTTTAGTTGAAAACTCACAAAACCAAAACTTCTCTTGTTACTTTGATACTCACAAAACCAATTTTTAACAAAAAGTAGGAGATTTGGTAACCTTTGTTAAAAGATTAGCATTGTTTACCATTTCTATATTTGGTGACTCTGTGACATGAACACAACAAATATATAATTATATAAAAAGGCATTTATTTCTTATTTGAGAATGTAGCCCCAAATATCAAAAATTCAAAAGGTTTTTAAAACATACATACCAAGTAAATGAGGTGATACAGAAAGAACATATGAAGTTAACATATTTGTTATACTTTGAAATAGAATATAGATTTAAAGTTGGGCAATAAAGAGAATTTGAGATATGTAGTCTAATAACAAAATTATGTACATATAATTTTTAACCTTTAGTACAGGTTAAAGTACACATAGTTTAGTTTTTTTATGTCAGCTAAGTTCTATATAATTACTATGATCATATAGATAAGTATTCTGATTAGCAGATACTAATTTGTTAGTAGGTTCTTTAGTCTTTTATTGTATTGTTTTTTTTTTTCTTTTTTTAGTGCATTTGCTTTCTTATATATATATTTTTAAAATATCTCCATTCTTATATTCCCTTACCCTATTTAACATTCTGAATTTTTTTGTTAGAAAATTTTTCTTCAGATTGGTGATATATTATATAGGGCAATGATTTTGACAAGGTTAATAGGCATCTACTGTAGACTCTTAGGATATAAATTCTCAGTAAATTAAAAATTCCAGACAAGGTAAAGATAAACTACTTAGGCTGATTGCACCTGGGTCTTCCTTGTAGAATCTATTTATAGATTCTTGTTTAATAGATTGAGTGATTCTTTATTAATACAGACATATGTAGATTTATGAGTAGATTAGCCTCTACAGGATAATTCTACATTGATTTAAATAATAAAAGAAAGATCACTAAAACAACAAAAAAACAACAAAATAAATGAATTTCACAAAATGCAATGAATAAAAGGTAGCTACCTATTTAATAGAGTTATTTAAATTTTAAATACTTGAACTTTTTTAAAATATAATACAGTACTTACATTTATCATTTATTACTATATATTAAAAATTTTTTAATTTATACAAATGGTACGTATATTATATTGTAGTAATAAAACAGTGATGTTTTATAAGGCTGGAGCCTTTCTTATTAGGTGCTTAAATTTCAAAATAAAATTTTCACAGTAGTACTATTATTGGATATTAGAATATATGTTAATTTTTTTAAATAACATATTTTATAAGTTTAGATTAATATAAGAAGATATAACTCCAATTTAATAATTTATAAAAAGAGTAATCTCTGCTCTTCGCTAATCTTTGTTGTAATTATATACTTCCTCAATTTTGTAGTCTTTTATAAGAAGTACTATTGAAAAGAAGATGGGAAAGAGCATGGGTGATATAGCTACAAATGTAAACCTATAGAAAATCTCTTATTGAAAATATCAAATACAGTTTATGATAATGTTAAACCTTGCGATTTGAATCGTAATTCTATGCATACCTAATTGGACAAATTAGCACCACTCCTGAACTATTTAATGTGTTTAGTTGGACCTGATATAATTATCTATTCTGAACAGCATTAATGTAGATGATGTGGTTGGCATCTTTCCAAGTTTATATATAATATCAACAGTTGTTCCCATTGCACCATTTACCAATTCATAATTTGTCCAAATACAGTTGTAAAAAAATTCTCTTTATAATTGTAGAAGAAAATGAATTTAAGTACAGAAACAGCATTGTGAAATTTCTTTAAAAGACTTTGATCATAATTAGAAAGCTGGCATGCAAGTGGTATATGACAAGATATTTTTGATTTTCTAAAAAAAAAAGGTAGCTAACTATATATTTTTATAATTTAAGATTCTGCCAAATGGGTTCTTTCATAACAAATCGGGGTTTAGAGAGGTTCTACCGTAATTGAGATTTTTATTGGGCTATATTCCTAAGTGCATGCTTTATCCGTGGCAAAAACTTTGGTAAACATTAGCATATTACAATTTTATATAATTCCTTGCGCAGTTAAAAATGATAATATGTCGATATATATAAAAGTCAATGATTAAACATTGATATTTACATATAAAAAATTCGGCTCTAAGCCCGATTTGTTGTGAAAGAACCCAAATGTAAATAAGTATTATGTTCATCACGATTTGTATTTTTTTTCATTATTTTGACGCTTACCTTTTTAATGATTCAGGCGTATAAATTCTTTATGCTTTGCATCGATACAATAAGTTATTAATTACTTTTGTTAGTATTTTTGTTAATTGTCAATTGTCAGTCGTCTGTTTATTTATTATTTTTTAATGATTTTTTTAATGACTGAATTTCTGATGGATTAAATTTTTACAGGGGATATGATTGTTCAAATCAATCTCATTTGCAGGGGCGGGAGCCGGACATCGGCAAAATTTCTGTGTACGGCTTTAAGGTCTTCCACTCCGTCCCCTCCGCTCAAGCTCAATTATCATGTTTTTAAAACAACGGGATTCAACGTTAATAAATAGCATAAAAAGTTTATATCAGATAAAAAATAAGCTTTAATAAACTTTTTTTAGCATTATTTAAAAAAAATTTTTACTAAAAAAAAAAAAAAGTCGTGCGGCCGGGTCACCAATCATCGTCCTATGATACTATGATATGAAAACCAAGTATATAATTTTGTGCGGCTTATGTTGTAACAAGTTACGGCATAAGTCATAACAGTTCTACTGCATCTCTAATCAGGGGTAACAAAGTCAAAACAAAAATACCAAAGCCCTAATGTTGGTAGTGAAATCCACGGATTATAAATCCACAGTATCACACATTACTAAATAATTTAAATCGAATATACGACTGTAAACCTTTTGATTCATGTTCAAAATAATTACCCATATATCAAGCATCGGAAATTTTTGAAAATAAAAACCCGAAGTTCATGAATCCGGCCAATAGGTGTCGGCTGTTTTAATTTGATATAGTAACACATAATTCATGATCATGAGTTTGTCGGACAATTATCATTGTTATTTGATTGGTCTACAATGAAAAACAATCAAAAAACGCTAACCAAATTAATTAAATTCAATCATACATATATATATACTTGATAACCCGCTACGTATTTATATTTGTGCCGGTACAGTAATGCAACCTCCTATAAAAAAGCCCGCCATTTATCGCCATTTATTACCCGAAATTTCTTGGGTCCCTGATGCAATTCTGTTTGTGATACATAACTAAATTGCCGCTTACTATAACGATAAGCGTTAACCGTCATTTTAATATTACTGTATAATGTCAAAATTTTATTATTTAGATTTTTACTTGCCACGGTCAGTTAGAATAAAACGTCCGAGCTTTCTCGCATTGTTCACCAGACAGTCTGATTTTCATCTAGTTTGCAATCTATTCCCAAAAAAGTATACAGATTTGCAAATTTAATTCCAAACAAACTTTCATTAATATTAGTTTAAAGCAATTATTTTAATAGTTATTAGAATAATCTTTAAATTTTGTACGAATGAATGTTCATGTTTTCCGCATTACTTTATATGGACACGAAATCTGTACAGACCGATATATGCGTCAATATCTGAAAACAAAGCAAGTGTTGCATTTTAAATTTATAGTTTAGTTCTACAAAAACTGCATTTAATAACAAATAATTAATTATACTGTACAATACACATAAAGCCGTGTAACAACCATTAGATTTATTCATGAAGGTTATTTTTATTCTTATATTGTTGAAATTCGATAGTTTTCTTTCTATAACCTTCCTTACTATTTTTCTTTCTTGTTATCAAAAGGATGAATTTTATGATATCATAATTCCTTTCTATCCGTCTTTCCACCTTTTTTTCTCTTACACAACTTTCTCTCCTTATTTTAATTCATCCATTCACATATAATTTATTCTATCTTTTGTATTCAAAATGAAATTAATTTATTTTTTCTGTATTTTTTTAACTTTTTCGTACTGGTCATTGGCTCAAGAAACAACTGATGGATTATATCAAGTAGACTTGACTTATCGCAATATTAGTACTAAATATTGCTATGCTTTAGCATTGATTAAAACACAACTACTTGATAATATTATTTCAGGACTTACTTCAAGTATTACTGATATTACTTCAGATCTTGGTATTAATAATTTACTATCTAAAAGAGCTGGAAGCTCTCAAGCTATAGGTGCCGTTAATTACGCAAATGATGTAGAAGTATGTAATACTAATTCTATTAAATATTCTATTAAATACTATTCCCGTTAAAATAATTGTATTGATTTTTATCTAACTTTTAAAATTAGTGGATAAGTCAAATATCTATGGGCACACCACAACAATCATCTCTTGTGGTATTAGATACTGGAAGTGCAGATCTTTGGGTAAGAAGTATTAAATTTTTTTTCACATAAAAAATATTTTTATTAAATATATGTAATTCGTAATTATAAGATTCCTTGCATCGATTGCTATAACTGTAAAAATAAAAGGTTATATGATTACACTCAAAGTTCTACAATTCAATATAATGGTGATGATTTCTCTATCACTTATGCGGACGGTTCAAGTTCTAAAGGTTGGATGGAAATGGTAATCAATAAAGTTATCAATTATTCTCCTATAAGTACGTATTAAGTTATTTATTATAAATTTTTATTCTATACATTAGGATACTCTCCAAGTTGGATATATGACTATTCAAGATCAGCAATTTGCCATGGTATATGATATGAGTAAAGCATTCCAAACTGATGTTATTGATGGTGTTGTGGGGTGTGGTATGTTTGAAATTTTATTTATTTGATTAGCTAATATGCATTTCAATCACCAAAAAAGATTTTTCATTTTATAACTATGATTTTTTTTTTCAAACTATTCAATAGGATATGATTCACTTTCAGTATATTCAGGCACTCAGACTCCTCTCACAAATATGTATAATCAAGGTCTAATTCCTCAAAGAATATTTTCAGTACAATTGCGTCCAGCACGAAATAAAACTACTTATGGTGGAATCTTCATCTTTGGCGGTATCGACTCTCGTTTATACACGGGTTCTATAACGTATACACCTGTAACTTATAAATACTTTTGGCAAATTGGAATTGATGCAGTATTATATAATGGAAATAATGTTTTTACAAGTTCAAGAAACAAACAACAAGTTATAATTGATACAGCAACTGCGTTACTTATAGTAGGAACAAACGTAGCGAGAACGCTGCATTCAAACATGAGAGGAAAATATGATTCTTCTTCACAGACATGGCAAGTTCCTTGTAATTTGAATAGTAATGTACAGGTGTCAATTAAGATCAACGGAGTCACACTTCAAATTAATTGTAAGTTTATCATGAAACTTATGTATTAATTTTTGCTGATTATTTTTAACTTATTCAACCTATGCATTAATTTTTGCTGATTATTTTTTAATCATAGATCAAGACCTTGTGAGAGAAAGAGTAAGTTCTTTAAGCTCTTGGTGTTATTCCGGAATAGCTTCTACTGATAGCTCGGTGAGTATTTTATTCTAGCATTTTCTAAGCATACTTCTATCTGATTTTCAATTCACACACGTTAAATTTTTTTCTATCAAAATAGATCTGGATTTTTGGAGGTACTTTTATGAAAAATTATTATGTAAGTATTGTTCTAAATTAATAATTGTATCAATTTGATTTTTAGTATGTTCATTATTAATTGTTTGTATGTTTTAAAGGTGATATTTGATCGTGAAAGAGATCGAGTTGGATTCGCTACACCTGTTTATGCTTACTAATTAGATTAGACTTGTTACAATTATTTGGTTTTTTTTTGTACTATGTTATATCGGTTTCCTGCCTTATAATAGAATTTTGATTTTCTACCATTTAGCGGTAGAATTAACAATATAATATAGGCACTAATAATAATTAACTATTAATAATTGTCCTATTTTAATTTTTTTTTAATATCAAAGTATTGTTTAGAATAAATGGTTCTTAAATTGTTTTAATTTGTGTGCTGTTTTGACTTTTCTTCAGAACGTGAATATTCGTATATAATATGAGTGCACACTTGCCCCTAGATGTATATGTGAAACGTTACGAGAAAAGGTTGAGTGATGTGATTTTACAAAATTATCGGAATTATCGCAATTGATATCCTAAATTTAGTAAGTCAGTGATATTTAACTTTGATAAACAGAGTTGTTTATTTTAAAGGCAAAAGGTGTCCTTTATACGATTTAAGAAAGAAAGAAAGAAGGAAGGAAAGAAAGCAAAAAGGAAGAAGAAAAGAAAGAAAAAAGAAAGAAAGTGCACTTTATATATAATGTAATTTGGAGATGCATCGTGTCAATACGTACATTAATTTATGTATGGCCGATCACTATTAAGGATTATTAAGGACTATTAAGGACTATTAATAAGGGTGGCTGATACGTAGATGTGTAATACTTCGTATTAAGTTTTGTTTATTATGTAGCGGTAGTAAGTGTCTATGCTGGCGCTAGATATCCGAATATATATACATAAGGGCTAATTGTGATCTGATTACTTTTCATTCTGGTCAAATTTGCAGATCATTTGGCCAAACGATCTGCAAATTTGACCAGAATTATAAATAATCGGTTCTGCTTAGATCAATCAAAATTAGTCCTAATGATAAGTATATATTTATTAGTTTGTAAAAAATAAAAATTTAAAATTTTGTTCATTAACTAATAGCTTTAAACGAGTACGAACTTGGCAAGCATAAAATAATTTAGCATATTACCTTGGCATGCCCATAGTACGCTGTAAGTTAATAAATTCTTTTTTCTAAAATATAATTTTTGTCCAATCAGATTATAAGTTATATATTAACATACCCGTAGCCAGGGATGTATCCAAAACCTCTTTTGACGTATCCAACGTCCAAGTGTATCTAAGCTTTAATAATTAAAAAAATTTGGTTTAAGAAAACATAATTATATTTTTTTAAATGTTTTTACTTAGAAAATTAAAATAGATTTAATATTTAAAACTATGTCCAAAAATGTTCAAAACTGTCTCCGTGACATCCTTGCTCGTAACCGTTATGCCAGGTTCTTTAGGACGCACACACGCACACATTTTCCACGCATGAAAAATTGTTTTAGTAATTGAAGGAATGTCATGTGTGAATGTTAAATTAACTTGAATGTTTACACATCGAAATCAGCCGGACGACATTCAAAAAATGCTGTAATAATCTCTGCCAAGGCACACGCATATTTCGTCTAAATTTTCCAAGTGCTAAGATATAATAAAAAAATCTAAGTAACCTCTGAATTTGGGAACATCTTCAAATTCTGTATGTCTGTAAAACTCAAATTATATGTAGGTTGTCGAGATGAAATACTTTTAAGTTCGGAAAAAAAAATCAGGCAGTTTAAGTTTTTTCTAACTTTGAGCAAAGATATCTCAGTATAGATGTATGTAGACAATTTTGATGTTTTCCGACAATTTTGAACTCTATATTCATAATTAAAATATTTAAAAACCTAGACGATTTATATAATATGAGTGCTGCTGCGGTCATTTTGCACTTTTGGAGCTGATTTTTATATCACATATCGATTTCTTAAGTTCACGTTAATTGTGACGTGAATTCTTAATAAACTGGTTTCAGTTAAAAATAACGATAATACTTACGTACGTACGTACGTAAGTAGATTTTCACTTTCATTACGTATATTTATGGAAACATTGATTTCAAAAACGGGATTGTAAATCAAGATACAGTAGCGAAAAATTATTTTTTTGATTGGTTATTCAAATTGGTTTATTCATTTTAAAATGCATCATTTATTATGTTTCTTTTTTGACTGAAAGTCATATAGATAACATCTAACTCATCTTTTCACAGGAAGATGGGTTAGACGTTATCTATATGACTTTCCAACAAGAAGTGTAGAGGTGCCTTATGGTTTTTATTTGCATTCCACCAGAGGTGCAGACATATTGTCGTAATTAGCCTAATTACGACAATATGTCTGCACCTCTAATTCCACCCAATATTGTATACACGTACAGTACGTACGTTTTTTTCGAGATCCATACTTATATATTTTACAAAAGATACATATTAAATTCTAAACGTTTTTATTAAGATTTCAAAAAAGTGGTCACAATAAAATTTTAAGTAAACTAATAAGTTGCCTGTGACACCTAATATTTATATTCGATAATATAACGTGATAATTGAATTGCTCTTACCCATTTGTAAATTATTAGGCGATAAAAAGCATTTTCTAGATGAGCAAAAACTTATTCTTCGGGTAAAAATACTCCTATCCGTTCATCAAGTTACTAATCATCTAGTGCTAAGAAATTATTCCAATTTTCCAGAATCGTCTTTTGTTACTAAAGCAATATCGTGTGATAATATCAATATTATTATCACACTGATACATTATGACTCACTTGCTAATTTGGTAGCAAATCGAAAATGTGTACCAGGTTGTGCTCGGATGATCATGTGATTGCTCGGAAATCATTAATGATATCATCGATTAATTAAACAAACTACCCTCATACTTCGTTCATATTTTGCTTCGTTCATATTTCGC